ATTAATTAGACAAGTGTATAGGATGCTATGATCAAAAACATAGTGTTTTTCTCAAAACAGTTTTGGAGTATTGGGCCTTCCTCTTGCTACCGCCTCAATGAAGATGTTAGAGTACTGGGATGGATTCACATTCAGATTTGAATGCATAAAATTCTGGGGATCGTCCCGGCGGATGGAGTAGATAGAATAATTTACTCGGAAGAATGTCTTCATTCTACCGGTAGCTTCACTTAATCGTGGGTCGACTATAACAAATCGTTCTTGACTTGCTGCTACAACACGCTTCTGACTTCAAATCTGCCCTCTATAAAGGAAGTAAAAACCATTAGCGCACATATTTTTGCATAAGAAAGCTTTTTCAGCATACTTAAAGACCTGCTGTTTTGTGAATTCTATTTGGGCTTCTAAATAATGCAAAAGGGTTACTAATGAGTCGCAAATGACCAAGTTGTTAAATAACTTGTAGTGAGCAATCTTTAACAGTTGACATGCTATTTGTGGAAACGCCTTTATAGAAGGAAATTTCGTACATTTCAAAATTTTGTTGAATTTTTAGAGTTGTAAGTCAAGATAGGGATACATTTATTTATTTTAATTAATACTATTTTAAATTATCAAGATGTTCAGAATTTTGCTTGATTGACAATTTTTATTTTAATTTTTAGTTTCTACCGAATGGGTACAATTAATTATTAAGCGTTTATTTTTTAAATTGCCTTTTCTGTTAATATCTATTACGTAAATTTTTGTATGCCCCTCTGTGTTTGTGCAAATTGAAGTTTTGTGATTCCGCATCTTATTTTCTACATTATGGAAGTTTCTAACAATTTATTCATTTCATTACTAAATTTTAGGGAATGCTTTGTTGGTATGTTTTCCAGTCGAATATTGTAATCTGAAAGTACAGTAGATTTAGTGCTCTTGAAATAATTTTTGTACGTCGTTTGAAAGAAGAAAAAATGACTACATGCATTTTCTCTGTGTAATTGCTTGTCGGCGTTAGTCTCAATTGTACTCTTCGAACCTGTCGTTGGAATGCCCTTGACTGACTGTTTAAGTCCGTCGTCGGCACGTGACATCACAGAGCAACATTGAAGCAGAGTATAAACAAAAGTAAACTTGGGGCTCAATGCCAACGTCCGAGCAGAGGAGGTTGCGTGTAAGATTGACTTCGCAGTTTCTCCAGGTCAGGAATTGAGAAAATACTTCTGTTTGTACTCCTGAAAAACATTGTTTCACTTCATTTTTTATTCGTTCTGGAGGCTGCAAACACAGGACGTAGTGAGAGGTTGAATCCAATCAGTTCGACAGGCTTCTAACGGGAGATCTAACATTATGTTGCGCTAAATATTCAGAATTAGTTTTTTCGTATTTTAGTGTTAATGAATAGATTAGTCACATATCTTAAGACTATGTAGGACAAACTCGTTGTTAGTATCAGGAGAGATGGCTCATCTGTCACAGCAGTCCTTCTGTCCGAGAAGTCCTAGTTTCGAGTCCCGACTGTGGCAGGATTGTCGACACTAGCTTGTCAGCTGGGTAGAGTCAAATTACTGTTTAGAGGATAATTCTAGCCGTTGGCTGCTCTGATCGGTAGTTTTCCGTGATTTCTCAGATTAACACCATGCGAATACCGGAGCAGTACCCTAACAAACGGGACACGGGCCGCGCGCGATCTTTCCTACCTCTTCCTTGTCGTATCCTCATCCTTACACACATACACTAACATGTACTACATGTCAAATCTGACATGTCTCTAAGTGCCAAATACTGCAATTGTAAGCAATCACATATCGTCTAATTGAAGCTGTCGCGACAATATAGTGATAGCTTTTTTTTGTAACATTTATAAGCCAGAGGAAAATAAAAAAATTGAAAATATCCAGACATTTCTCAGTTTGTGTATACTCTACTCCCAGCTTTGAGCGTTTTTTGTTGCATCTCGAACATTTTTTAACAACGTTGGAATAACAAAGTTTGTTGGTTTAGGGGTTGAGAGGGGGATTCAATGATCTTCATTTTGGGTGTGTAAAACGTGTTATGTTGTCCGGACCATTTCCATTATGCAAAGATGTGGACTAGGCTACAGCAAACTACCGGGAGAGATAGCTCAGGCTATCAACTGATGTCATTACAACTGTATGTACACTACTGCTGTATGGAGAAAAATTCTAGCGGCCGGCTGCCCTGATCCATAGTTTTTCCGTGGTTTCTCTGATCAGCACCGGGCGAATGCCGGAGCAGTACCCCAACAAACTGGGCAACGGACCGCGTACGATATTTCCCACCGTGTCCTATCCTCACCCCCTTACACACACTTACAGGCACGACACTACCACACATGCCGAAGGGACCGGTCGGGAGCTTAGAGCTTATCCCGACTGGGGGCGATGTCCCGTTGGTGGGTGATACCTGGTTGAGGAAAGCCCCGCTAGACGACGGTAAGTCGGCGCCGGATTTTGCCATCCAGCGGGGGGAAACCAACCGCCATCTCCAGAGCAGACCTGCACTATACTTACGGGAAGATTGACACTAGGGTGTGGGGATTGTTTGGCACGCTGTCGACGCGCCAGGAATCACTATATATCAAACAGCAAATTGCTTCTCTGCGCATGCACCTTCTGCTCCGCCCGTTGCGTTGGTCGCGGTCCGGGTGGCGCGGCGTGGGGGCCGGCGCAGGCGGTGGCAGGTGGGAGGGGCCGGCGCCGCTCTGGCCGTGTTTGCAGCGGTCGGTGGGCCGAGTCACCTTGCGCGCCCACGCCACCTCCGCCCAAGCGCTCGGCGCGCTACGTCACAGCGCCGCACCGCACGATGCCTGATTTACACCTCTGGAAGTCGTTCGCCGCTCGCACCGCCTCGGACGCGGGAGGCGTGGTCGAATTGCACGAATGCAGTGGGAATGTTTGGCACGCTGTCAGACTCGGTGGGGTCTTAAATGGAATGTATTTCGACGCACGGGATTGAAGTACGTTGCTCACAGTTCTGAACTTCAGACTCACTTGGGAAGACCATTGGCAAGCACACAATTTAATTTTGATGAATGATTAATGAATACGCAGCACGTCAAATGCATAACACTATTTACTGGAAGTAATCCTTGACGGAACCGACAAATTCGTAAGGAACAATGACCGTCAATGTTCATCTCACACTGACCAGAAGTTATGAAATAATAAAGTACATTAGAGGGCCTGCAAGGCATCGCATTTGTTAAGGCTCAATGAGATTGAATTGAACATTATTCGAAAAAAATTAATCCAATGCTATAAAGAAGAGCGTGCAGGTTGATAAAGAGAAATAGCGACCTTCTTGTGGGATGCGTATTGATAAAGAGAAACGGTGCGGACATTTTGAGGAAAGAATCGAAAATGGATTCATCACATTCGATGTCGTTGAATGGAAACGATTTAGTTCCGTGCCGCAGTTTATATGGAAATGGCAACTTCGCCTGACATGGCTGACACGAGATGCATCGAGTTAATGTTGTTTTCCTGTGGTTTATGGCCCTTCATGCCATTCCGGAAGCCATAAAAGCGCCGAGTTCTGTCCCTTCAATTCTCTGTCGGGATGATAAGGAAGACAGTTTGCACATTACGACTCTGGGAACGCTAATGGGGTAATAAAATAAGCATGATTTCCAGTCAGAGTTCAATCTTCAGGAGAGGGTATTACATCGGCAGTAAAATAGATCTTGGGTACGACATGCGGACAGGTTTAGAGGAGACTTTCGAAGAATTAAGACGAGGAAATTAAATATTTTGTGGTTTACTTCTATTCACGTAATTACCGGGGACCAATGCTGTGTAACAGCGACAAATAGTGTATCGTTAAGTTATCAAGTTGCTGAATGTCTTTCTTAATACCAACTTATTTCTGAATACCTGTCAAATTAGATCAATTAGATGTCTTACACATTCAAACTACCATTTCTTCATTTAGCACACGCAATTCCACTACATTCACAGTTCCACTTTTCTTTTCCCGTCGATTCCTGTACTTATATTCCGAGTTATTCTTGTGCCTTTCCATCCCCCCCCTAATTTCTAACATTTATTTTTATGTTCCTAGATTGTATCTTTCTAATCTGTCCAAATCACATGAATTTGATCTTCTAAACCACGGTTTCCAAAACTGTTTTTGGTTGCAGACCCCTTTGGCTAAAATATGAAGGAGTTGACACGTCATTTATTACTTCAGCTACTGAAAAAAAAATTGATTCGACATGGTACACTTTTGTTTCGGGATTTCCAGTTTGACCTTAAGCCACCAGTCTATCACCTTTCCCTCCCTCTCCACTCCACTCCCCCATCCGCCAAAAGCGTTTCGCCCCTCCCCCACCTCCCAAGTCATGCGAAACAACCGCGAACTTAGTATACGCCCGGTATACTTAGGACAAATCATGCGCTTTGAAATGAATTTGAAGAACGCTAGTGTCGCGAACTTGCGATGTATCAACTGATGTCAGTGCAGTGCCTCTCGCCACGAGGCCCTAGGGTTCGAGACTGTACCGCGGTGACAAGATTTTCGACAGTCGCTGTCTGGAGGAGAATTATAGCGGCCTCGCAACGAATACTATCGCACATATAAAAAATACCACTTGGGGACCAGTCGGAAACAAATTGCCGGCGTCTTTGACTAAATTAACTATATAGGTTACATGAAGTGACAGAAGGTAAGCAACTCGAGATACCACGGATTCCTGGACGGATGGCAGTCTGGAATTCCTGGACGGATCGCACATATAAAAAAAGACTTCTTGGGGACCAGTCGGAAACAAACTGCCGGCGACTTTGGCTAAATTGACTATGTTGGTTCCATGAAGTGACGGAAGGTAAGCAACTCGAGATACCACGGATTCCTGGACGGATGGCCGTCTGGGTTACAAATAACCGGAACCAATAACCGGAACCAATAACCATAGTAGTTAAATTTCCTAGAAACACGCCTCACAAGGTCTTCCCCGCAGTTTCTTTGACACCGAGAGCCTCTGTCGGTTGCAGGCTGCAGTCTTTGGAGTGCGACTTCTTCGACAAGTTGGGGGAGCTGATGCAGAAGCACGCGGAGGAGCACCGCCTGCGAGGAGCGGCGTCGCTCGAGGCGGCGAGCGACGGCGTCGAGGACGGGGAGGACGGCGAGGGCGGGGGCGTGGTCCCGAGGGTGCGGCGCGCCGCCCTGCCCGTGCCGGACGCCGCCGACGCCAAGGACGAGGACAAGGCCAGGCTGCTGGCCGACACTCACGGCTTGAACGTAAGTGGCCACGACCGACACTGATGCTAGAGATACCTGGATGGGGAATACGCACCCCCGATAAACCGACGTGTAAACCGCTGCCGGATATACTCTTTCAGCGGGAAATGAATACCGCCACCTCATGGGATTTATTATTATTATTATTATTATTATTATTATTATTATTGTTATTGTTATTGTTATTGTTATTGTTATTATTATTATTATAAAAGCCTCTTCTTCTCAAAAGTGAAAATGTTTAGTCTCAATTTGTTTGTGTGTATCACAATTTTAATCATTTATCAACAAGAATTTAAATTTACTTCTTGAAACTTTTTATTTCAGTCTTTTGTAGACATATGTAACTTATTATTAGACGGTAATTAGGAGGCATTTCATTTTTTGTAACTTAGAATGGCTTAGTGCAGTTTTGTAAAACTTGTTATTAATAATTCATAATATTTAATGCAGAATATAATTTCACAATATTCACTTAATCTTGCAGAGCCGATCAAAACGCCATGTCGAAACTACAAACGAGCAGAGTTCTAAACCAATTCTAACCGTTAACTGGAAAGTGGATTACGCGCTTTGGTGAAGCGCACAGTGTCGGACCGAATGGACCTAAATTTCATCTCCGGATGCAAGTGATGGAGATCCACAATCGAGAAAACTATCACAAGGTCGCTAAATTTGCGAATTCCCTGGCGGCGACGCTCTTTATGAAAGAGCGAATGGGTTTGTCGCAAGACTAATGACGCATGGAACTCGTGCAGATCGATCGACGTTGTTTATTGGGGATACAGCAGCGTTGTTTCAACATAGTGAGTCGGGCGCGTTGAGGCGCATAGTGCCATTTGTGCTTAAACTAAAATCTACATCAAATTCACCTTTCCTGAAGACCCAATTATATTTGAGTTTTAGCCTCCCACAAAAACAAGAACTAATGGTGCAAAACATTGCTTAATTTTGTTCTTGCAAAACTTGGGTGACAAGATAGTAAACTACTGTCTAGTTAAAAGTTAATTATAAACACAAAGTACAAAATGTCAAGTCCGTCAATTAATCATATTTTTATTACGCAATTACAAATTTCGATAGTAGCTCGTTCGTATTTTCTATAAAAGTAAAATAGAAATCGCCACCTGCTAGAACAACCCCAATATACGCTGTGGATCCCGGCAAGCTAATACAAAAATGCCCTTAACCTCATAAAAAATTACTGGGAAGTATCTCCTTTATTCTGCGTAATACCGAAAGAAAAACGCCGGCATGGATGGGACGTTTAGGAGTTAGACGGAGCTGTAAAGTCACTGTGGGATTTATAAAAAAGGGCGAAGAATATGGCAAAACTAACATTCATTCTGCGTAACAGGCAAACGCGGCGATATTTCAGGGCGTATATTTTCATAATGCCTTCCTCACACGCTCGTCCAGCCCCGTGTGCCTCACCTTGCTTCGCCGCGCTTTGGCCGCCTCACCCCGCCCGGCTCGCTCCATCTCACTCCGTCCGCCTCACGCCGACCCGTCCCCTCCCATGCCGCTCCTTCGCGTGGCGAAAAGAAAAAAAAATGTTCCGTTAAGAGTATATATTTACATTTTTCGCACGTAGTGTTGCCTTGCAAAAACGCTAGAACTGGGTGGAAGGGAGGAAAGGAAGGAGTAAGGGTGGGAGGAGGGGAAAGATGAGGTTGTGCGACCAAAAGGTTTTCGCAACTACGCAACGACGAAGTCGTCCAGAAGCTTTTTTTTAAATAAGTCTCGAGAAAATGCTTAATAGACTGTAAGATGGAAATAAAATGGATGGTATTGTTTTCTAAATTGGCGATTTTACTGAATTTATGCCAATGTTTAATTCAATCGAATTAAATTAGTGTTCAATAGTATTCCGGGAAAACTAAATACAAATCTGAAATAATTAAATAATTATTTATGAAAAATTTGACTTTGAAGCAGGGCCCTGGCCTCTTCGTGAAAATGAAATTTGTAATTTCGAATTTAGTGTAATACACTATATTTTTTTTTTATCGGACGGTATCCTTCCAATATTGTCAATTACTTGTGAACCATATATTATCAATGATCATATTCTCCGTTTTATCATCAATCATATCAACAATATATATTAATTGCTCGTGATACCAAAGAATTAAAACTTCGGAGCACAATTAATCGTTCAAATTGGTTCTTGTTCTGTTTTTCTTGTTTGTCTTCATCTTATTCCTCTTCCCTTTCCTCTATTTGTTAATTTCTCTTTATTTTTTTCTCTTTGGTTTTCGTCTTTTTTCTTCGAAATTTTTCTTCTCCGTTTTAATTACAATAATAAGAGTTATATTTCGTTCAATACTTCAGTTTGAAAGCATGGGCTTCAAGGAAGCGTGTTTTGGGCAAACACAATGGATGAAGGCAAAATCCTCTTGTCAACGCGCTTCATTGCAAGCGTTCACCATTTCTCTCCAAAGCAACGCACCCCATCTGCTCACCACGTGGACGTTCATCCATATCCGTGTGTCGAGAACGCAAGCAACAGATCCACTTTTTGTAGCAAGAAACTATACCACTGTAAGCAACCGGGCACGTTCGAAAGCGGACCATCCATGTGGTCTGATGTAATATTTTTAAGTATTCTCAACCTCTTTGTGTGCGTTTCCCAGGGGGGAAAAGTGTGAAAACTTACTTTTTGAGATGAACCTCCTAGTACAATATTTTTATTTATTTATAGTCATTTATAAAAACACAAATCATCGCCCATCAATACATAGATTAAACTAAAAAAACTATTGGTACTATTATATTACATTTTATTTTAATTTCTCGCTACCGTTTACCTAGTAGAGAGAAAGTTATGTAAAACAGCCAATTTTCGACCGAAAAACTCTTATTGCAGGGCTCTGATGCAGGAAAAGATACATAAATTCAGATCTTAAATTTAGAAAAAATCCTCTAACATATGGTGTAACCACAATCCGTTTTGTTTACCGATAAATCCATTGATAAGTGTGAAGTCTGTATAAATGCAAGTATTAAGTTTTGGTAAATTTCTATGGTGGTATACTCGCCAAGGCGTGTTATTAATTTTTTTATGGGGAAGGGAAAACCCTTGTTTGACCTTAGCTAGGTTCATTGATGAGAGGTAAAAATGTCCAAAGAAGGTTCACCAAGTGTTTGTTTGCCACATGTAAAATGCCATAACTACAAAAATTGCCATTGAAATAAATGCCCACTACAACAAAAAGTTCAATTCATGAAGTGTCCAGTCTATTAAATACCAATACATTTTATTACAAAAAGATCCAAAGGAGAAAAAAGGTCGGTCAGTAATGTAAAGCTTATTGGGGCTAAAATTGATTCATATTTTAGAACAAATTGAGCTGAAATAACTTTGTAAATTTTGAAAATGGTTAATGTTGAATCAAGTTGATCAATCAATTGAAGAGGTCCACAAGGGCATTTTTTATGACTTTAAATATGGAAACTTGGTACTTGAATTCATTAATATCATTTCAAGAAACATGAAAATTAAATTCATATTATTTCTAGAGCACCCAACTTGTCCACCTATACCTCAGACTGGTTTTCATTCTCTTAACTAGGTTGATGCATTGGCACGGGGATCCAAAAATTTTTGTACAATATTATGTAAAGTGGTTGGCTGTGGACATCAAATATTTGGGTAAATTCATGGAAATTTTCGTTTTCACTTCACTGTTTGAATTGTATGTACAATAACTTCTAAAACATATCTGCTATATAACTGGGTTGAACTTTCCGAATGCGTAATGGAATGGGGACTTTTATTGCAAGAGTAAATAATGTGCATGCATTTATAAATAATTCTTTGCCTCATCCTATGCTGTAGAAATAAAGCATTTCTTCATTAAAAGATTAATGATGATTTAAGACAATGATGGTGATAAGTAAAAACTTATTTAGAAAAATGCAATAATATTAGCTGGACGTTCTTCAGAAAATTCAAGCTTCTACCAAATGTTTCTTACAAAAATGACTTTCTAAAGTTCATTTTCTTAACCAAAGAATATTATTTATGTTTTTAATTATTCATTTTAATAAATTGAAAAATTGTTTTTCATGTCATTGTCGAGTAATAGAATATTTTATAATAAAAATATATTATTGTCTGGTTTTTTTATCCATTAAATTACATTTTATTTTGATTTCAACAAATGGTTGAAATGTTTTTATATATTGTGTAATATGATTATAGAAAAGTGATATAATACGTAGACTTCCTTGTATCCTAGGAACATCATGTCAACATGTCATTCGTGTCTAAATCAATTTTTCCCATTAAGTTTTCCTTGTTGTTTAGTGATATGTTCCCTGCCAGTAAACATGTAGATGACTCAAATTGGGCCTTCTTTCTTGCAGATTGAAGTTTTGTATGTAGAAGTCTTGCACACAATCTTGCATACCGTTGGATGCAGTGTCAATGGAGAAAATGACAGAGCTTTACTATTTAATTACCTTCAGGCTGCTTTTAAGTTTGATGATGACAAGCATAATAAGCTAATGGATCAAGCAAGAAATAAAGAGGTAATTAATATGAAGTGAAATTTTTATTTATGTATATATTGCGTTCAATGTACCACTTTAAAAGTTTTATGAAATGAACTTTTTTTTGTGATGCGATAATAATTTCCAATTGTGATGTAAAAAGACATTGATGAATAATTCTAGAAAAATTTAATCTATTTAGAACAGAATTGTAATTTTGTGTACATTTCCTTGCTTGCCAATTTATCAAGTAATTTCTTATGATTCACATATCTTGCTTTGTAATCTTTTATAGGCCCCAAACATTCTTTTACATGTAGAAGTCATTGAAGCTACAGATATTGTCCCAATGGATGCTGATGGTAATGGATCATATTTAATATATCTACTGTGGTTTAAACTAGTTTTAAACAATTATTCAATCTTTTTTTTTCTTTTGTTTTCAGGTCTCAGTGACACCTTTTGTACGGTTTACCTTACTTCTTCTGAGGAGCAGCAATACCATACTACTGTAAAAATGTCTACATTGTGTCCTGAATGGAATGAACACTTTTGTTTGTAAGTTGAATGGTCTCCTTTCTTTTGCTTTATGATAAACGTACAAATCACTTCAATTTTTTTGCTTCTTTCCAGACCTGTTAAAAACACCCCCAAAGAGTCTTTGTGTATAGAGGCATGGTGAGGCAAATTTAATTTATTAATTGAAATTTTTCATTTATTGTATCAGAGAAGATTTAGAAATAATAATTTTCATAATTATTTCAGGGACTTTGATCCTGCTGAAACGGTCCAGGAGAAGGTGATGAAAGTGGGTGTAGTGAAAGGCATAAAAGGCTGGGGAAAATTTGTGAGAGAATTTGGAGCAACAGGGAAAATTGAAAATGAATTCATTGGAAGTTGTGTTTTACCTTTGAATGTGAGAATTCACTTGATTTAAAATTTCCAAAATGCTAAATCAGTATTCCTTGTACAAAAATTTAATTGTTTCTGTTTTGTGTAGAGAATTAATGCTTCAGGTGAAGTACATTGGTGTGATTTAGAAAAGAAAGGCAAGACAGACAAGAGAGGCAGAGTGAAGGTAAAACTTGCTTTCAGCACCCAGAAGAGCAAAGAAGCAGCTTTCAAAGATCACAGAAACCTGCTTCGTTTATTACTTTTACATGAACTGGAGACAACTGAGGTAATGGCTTCAAAGACCTTCATTTCAATCATAATAATGAAAATTACATCTTAATCAGAATACGAAACCCTATTTAATTTGTATTTTTAAACATTAAATAAGCAAACAGCTCTTTAAGAAATTGAAGGGAACTCTTGCTATATTAACGCATAGCCTACTTAACTTCTGCTTTGCCTTCTGAAATGTAGAAAAGAAAAAACAATTGTGACTGTAATGTGTAAATAAAATGAAGTGTGTGGTGTTGAGTACTATGAACTCTTGAGCTTGGGGGTGGGGGATAATAATTTTATATAACTTATCATAATTTTCAGAAACAAAATATCATTTGAATAAATTTAAAGGTTTTTATTTAATATTAATGAAAATAATTTTTTTTAGGCAGAACCATATTCTTGGAATGGTGAGTTTGTTACTTCTGCAGAAACAATTTTGACTCAGCACTTGTTGCAAAGCGGACTTCCTCCAATAATGGATACGTTAGTTAAGTGGGTTGAATATTGCAATGTTCATGAAGATAATCCTCTTAGCTTTGAGGTATTTTCTGAACTTTTGGAGAAACTTCTCCCTCCTCTGCAAAGCAGTATGTTCGATAGGGAAAAGGTAAATTTTCATAAATTCCTTGCTATCAATGGCTATTTTGGCAATTGTTTCAAACACAGAATTATCTTAGTAGTGTAACACAAATTTTGTGATAAATTTGTGATTCTTAAATTAAAATGGTACTAATTTGTAAATTCTCAACATCAGATTTTGTATCTTCATTAGAGAGTTCATTTTCTTGGTTTAATCAATATTTTTTCTAAATGTAAATAAAAACTTTTCAATTTTTCCTCAGTGACTTTGCCAAATTCAGTTAGAAAACTGAAGATATTATGAACATTAAGAAAATGATCAACCTTCTGGTTTTGAACAAGGGATTATGATATATATTTTAGTAAATTACTATTTCTTAATCTTGCAATCAGATTTCCAGTAGATTTTACACTTTTGATTTGAAAATGTTCCAAAATTCTGTACATTCTAATGTATAACTTCTATAAATTTTTTTCTACTAATTTCTACAGTAGTTTTGTAAACAAAATTGTGCAATAGTTTCACTAAAAAGATGTTGAATTTATAAGGTTTTGATATATTTCTGTACCAAATACATCTTAATTTTATTTCCATCAATTGGATTTTAGGAAATATTATTTTGGGAAGCTGCAAAATCACTAATCCCATCATGCTTTAATGGAATTAAGAGACTCCATCTGTTAGTTCCTAATGAAAAAAATACTAATCAAATGGCTGCTTTACTAAGGTGTGTATTTTAATTTGGTTTTTGAATACCATATTCTTGCTTTTTCTTCTATTTATTAAAAATGAAGTAATTTTATTATTTGACATCAAAAACAATGAAAAATCCTATAAGGAGAAGCATATTCTGTTTAAGTTTTCTTAAATTCTGGGATATCTCCTCCAATCAATATACCAGTTGAATTTTAAATATAGTGTATTTTGGCAAGAATAGATGAAATATTTGCTCCTATGTGAAAAAATTTTGTGAAGGCAAGTAAGCTACAAATTTTGGCAGATCTCCCTCATTGTAGACTTTGTGAAGGAACCTAGTTACTGTGACGAGAACATGAAGAACAATAACTTGAATAATGAATTTCCCTCTGAACTCTAGAAAACATGCCCAGATAGTAAAGTTACATTTATGTCCAGAAGCAAAATAAGGGTCCGTTCTCTCAAAGGATCAGAGAAAGTAGATGAAACCCTGATCTAGAATTTTCACAAAGGGATTCAAAATATTCTTCTAAATATTATTTTCCCTTAATTATATTCTGAAAACATGTTTTACTTTACACATAATTTACGTTCATAATGATATGTAAAAGTTAAGACATAAACCAAACAAATAGAAACCCATAATATATAATATAACATAATATATAATATAATATAATATAATATAATATATAATACAATATAATATATAATACAATATAATATATAATACAATATAATATATAATACAATATAATATAATATAAATATTACAATTTGTGTGTTTTATGATCATTCCTTGTGAACTGAATATGACATCGCTCTAATTCTTTCTAGAAATCTTGAGATAAAAACATGTTTAGTTCAAATTTGATTTACTAAATTTTATACTTAAAAAGCATTTTTTCTTTTCTTTTTCTTTCTATAGAGTTCTTTCTTACTTGAGATGTGTACATTTACCAGAAGGATTTGAATTATTCCCATCTTCCATGTATGGATGGTTTTTGCCATTAGAAGATAATATAAACTGTGATGTGGCTGCTGCCACAAAATGTGCAATAGTTAAAGGGACAGAAGAATGGTGAGAGATTTTCAAATATGCTATTCCAGGCATGCAAAATTTCAATAAATAAATTTTATTGCATGTTCATTAATAAATAATACAGACTTTAAATTACAATCAAAGCAAAATCAGAAAGGTAGTAGTTAAACCATTACAGTAATTTAAAACTATAATAGTATTAAAATTACGAAATCGTTCTGGATTATCAATATCACTTTTTAAAAATGAAACCATCTAATCATGATGTATTTTCATGAATACATATTTTTGTAATCTTGAAATTTAACTTTGGGAATTACTACTCATTAAATTCCAATATGAATTTTTTGAACTAATTCCATGGTACTAATTTTTTTGGGTATGTTTTTTTGTTTGTAGGTACAATGACATTATTGAAAATAATATTAACACTAATAATTCCTCCAGAGAAATAAGACTGAATCACATAATTACGATAATTAAAAATGCTATGAAAAATCTTCACCTTGCAACTGACGTTTATGATAAAATATTTCAAGAGTAAGTAAATAAAATGAGTTAAAATTTTATATGTAAAAATTAATGTTAGTCAGGAAACAAATACAATGATGAAATGTTTACATTTCAGGACATTACAATTGGCATATGCAATGACTCTCTTTTCTGCACATGGGAACAAGGTAAAAACAATGGAGGCAGGATTGCAGTCTTCTTCTAACTACCTACTATACTACTAATACTACTTCGATATTTCCTTGAGTGTGTTCCTCCAAATTTTCATATGGAATTAGGGCAGCAATTTAGGAGTAAATTCTTCTCATCACAATTAACATAAATTATATTATACAAGCATATAATTAATATTAAATTTGCATGTATTTTGTTATGTTTTTTCTAGCTTTAAATGTTTTCATGTAAATAAAACAAACCCAATTTCTCTTAGTTAATTACGCAATGTACAATTTAGCTATAACTTGCAATATGTTTTTCTAATAAATTTTGATAGTTGAAACAGACATATTGAAACTTTATTCACTTATTTTCTTTCTGGTTATCATAGATTACTAATATTGTCTTGTTCTGTCAGATTTCAGAGTTAGTGGAGCCTGCCATAGAGGAAGTTTACCAAGTTTTAAAACCAGTGAAATTTAATGATGAGTCATCAGCAGAGGGAAGTGAAGATGATGTTCTTGGATATGGAATGCAACTGTTTGACCTCTATTTAACGCTCCAGAGATTTGTGGTGTAAGTTATATTAAACAATTTACTAATTCTATAATTTCAGAAAATAAAGGCTAAAAGTACTGAAACATAGCAATCTTTTCTCAAATTGCTTTTCTTATTATTTATTTCTCAGTTACAGTTAAATATTTCATTGTGAACTGTTTGGTCACATATGATCTTATATCTTTAGTTTTGGAAAATCCAAATTTATGTTTAAGACCATGGTTTAATTTTTTTCTTTTACTCTTTAGCTACATCTATTCTAGATCTTCTGTCAGTATCTTATTACTTGTAAGTTTTTCCCATTTTATACATCCTCATTGCTTATTATTTTGAAATGTATTTTTCCACATTTTAGTTCAGGTTCTGGGATAAGTTCTGAAGAAACGAAAAAACATAGATTATCAGAATATCATCGTTGGTTTCATCGAAGTGTAGCTCAATGGCTAGACATTGCTTTATGGAAGACATTAAAAAGAATACAGAAAGCAGTTGAATTAGATAACCTAGTACCTGTGAGTGATTCTGTCAAACATAGTTCCTCAGCAATAGATACACTTGGCATTTTCAATCAGGTGAGATTTTTGTTCATAGGTGTAATAGGTGCGGATCCACAGTGAGGGAAACGAGAAAAATTCCCCCCCACATCATCTTTCAGTATCTATTAATTTTAACTTGTCATGAATGTTTCAAGCAAACATATTTTAGGATAATCATTAAAGCAAATAAAATTGTATTGCAGCATGAGCTAGTGTAGCCTAAAACATTTTACAAAATCTGTAATATGACACCTTTGACCAAAACATGTTGAATTTCTCCTCCCGAAATTTCTCTGGATCTGCCCCTGAGTACAGGACTATTTGTTCTTATGTTATTAGGGACATTGAAATTGCATTTACAATATATTTCAGATAAAAATATTTTGGCAGCAGTTAGCGTGGCCAGATGTGGAAGGATCTTATGTTTTTGTAGCTAAAATTATAGACGTAAGTAAACAATAGACATATCTGATATGGAAAGCTATAAATTAATAGAAATTTTGATTTGAATGAACTAGAAATGTTCTTGTGCACTTCCAGGATATATGTCACTGCTCGGTTTACTATGCAAACATCATGAGTCAAAGAATAGAACAACTTTCATGCTCTGGCAGTAATTCAAAAAATAAATTTTTAGTCTCCAAAGAAGTGAGTATAATATGGTAGGTGATAGTAATGTTAAATCGAAGATTCTCTCATATGTCTTAAATAATCTCGTATGTGCTCTTTTCCAGTGGTGTCGAGCAATTAACAATATAGAATATATTTGGCGTTCTATTGAACCTTTTGTGAGTGAACTTGGAATGAATGATGTTCTGAGTAAACTTGCTAATGTTAAAAGCTCTGCTGACACAGAACAATGTAGACGTACTCTTGAACTAGTCATTGACAATGCAGTGGAAACTGTTGGTTCCAAAATCACAGAACTTTTAGATACACTGACTAAGAAGGTAACTATGTTCCACAACTACATAGTAATACTTTTTCTTCTAGTTCCAAGAGGTGGTTCACAGAGGTGCAAATGTGCAATTCTTGAACAGCACTTACACTTTCAGCAAAATTGTCTTGTTCATATTTCTCATGAAATTGCAGTGTAGTATATTACATTTTTTATATATTTTGTCAAATTGCAGATGATTCCAGCAATTCACACACTTTTGTTGGAAGGATTAGAAATGTTGCATAAAGGAGATAAATATATAGATAATTTAATGCTGTATCTTGACAAGAATTTGACGATTTTGCATTCAGAACTCGATACTGAAATTTTCCAGCAAGTTTTGTTGATAATGTGGGAGCATGTTGTTACAATTATTTTTGGAATAGTAGAAAAGAGTTTAGAGGTATGGTACTGATAATATTATAATTAATGATGGTAAATAACAAGGATTCTTGCAAAAAAATAAATTATATATTCCATTACAGGAAAAAAGATCTCGTTCATACTTCAGTAATCTTCAAAGAGCATTGGACATATTATTAGGCTTCTTTGGGGGTGGTGCTGAGGGAAGACAAATAGGTGAAACAAAAGCTGTAAAAGAAGTACAGAAATTATTGGCGCTCCATAGTATGGATACTTCACAACTAATACACAAGTTTTATCTTGAACGCTTAGAGGAACAAAAAGCAATGCAAAATTCTCCTCTTGGCATCATTACCATTTTTGCTGAATTTGGTGAAAATATATTGAAAATAGAAATCCTCAGTGGTCGCAATATTCATCCTATGGATTCAAATGGTAAGAGTTCATACAGATATGAGGAATGTTAATCTCTGTAAATAAATTTGTTGGTATCTGTGAATGTTGCCCTTATTCATTTTGGCTTCACTGATATATCAGTCATAGTACTTGTATCCTAATTTGCCTGATTTCCTAAATCTGAGGTGTTCTGAAATAAAAAAAACTTTGATGGTAAGAATCTGAAGACATTGAAAGAGGCATCATCTAAAGAGTAATGATCTTAGTTTTTTACATGGCATAATTATATTATCAACAAAAAATTTTTTACATTGTTTCAGGTTCGTGTGATCCATATGTTGAAATTGCTTTATTACCTGCAGAAAAATTTATTGGAGTACCCAAACAAAAAACAAAAACTCAGAAAAAAACGCTTTTCCCCCTGTTTGATGAATCCTTTTCATTGTGAGTGAAGACAATTTTTTTTTTATTTAACATTGGATAAATTACTGCAATTTTAAGAGCAATGTTTTATTTCGTTAACAGTGAACTGACTCGTGATCAAAGGGAGACAAAAGATGGAATGGTGCTATTTACTGTGAAAGATAAAGATATGTTGGGAAATGAATTAGTTGGAGAAGCTTTTATTTCCTTTGACCAAATAGAAAGCGATGGTAAAAATGAAAATCAAGATTTGCAACAAATTCACCTAAATCTCAGCATACCAAAGAACCTTGGTATGCTCTTTCTTATAAACAATAAAATGTTAACATTGTATAATATTACATGACTTGTTTTGTAGCAAATTTCTCATTGTACAAGTTTGTGAATATACCTACTGAAAACGTTTCATTTACAGATTCTCAAGTGTCAAGAACTTTAGAGGTGCGTCAAGGAGATAAATTAGCCAAAGAGTTCATGAAGAAGCAAAAAGCAAAAGCAAGTGCACATTAAAGAAGAATAAAAGAATAGTTTTAAATTAACACTGGTGTAAAAAGAAACTATAAAGAAAAAGGAACTGTACAAATTTTGTAATTTCAATGTATATATTCTTTACCAAAAATTTTAATAAAAAATATTGTTTAAATTGGAAAAACGTGTATTTTTCTCTTTTGACTTTTATGCATTTTATTTAAATAGAATTGAGATTTGTAAAAAAAAGATATGCATAGAAAGAATAAACTATAGGTTTCATAATGTAATGTGACTGGTTGTTACAATCATTATTTCATTGAAGAGAAATGAGCTTGCTTTATTTTTTTCCCCTCACAAGATTGAAGATTTAATATACAATTTTTCAGGAAATGGCGTTGTGGTAAAGTCAACATGTAAGTAAGAAATAGTCTTCTCCTAACTGCACAACTTCCTATAGGAATGATGCTAATGTGCAATTTATATTAAACACAATTTTTCTCAATTTGATTAAATCTAAAAGTAAATCTTTGATTTCTATTTTATAGTGTCAAATTTTGGGACAAGAGATAAGTGATAGTTAAAAATTTCAGAATTTGACAGCAAAACTCTAGACAAACATCTCCTTTTATAATTACAAAAATAGTAAAGACTGACAAAATTTACTTTAATACAAACATGTTGCATGGGGAATAATTTGAATATACTCTTTTTTTGTTTATCAATCATATCAATTTATATTCATCGTGATGTTACCATTGCACTGCACCAAAAGAAAATGGGGATTCCGTTCTTTGAGAACTGGATTTGCAAAAAATTGACACTAATTATTTGATTGCATAGAATTAAATACTCATTCCCTGAACGTGATGAAGATTCTTTGCCTGTTTTACAAACATTCCAAGGTACAAAAACCCGACTTTCTGGTCGGTTTCATGTCTCAACTTGAGCAAGTACGAGGAAATTCAGAGAACATACAAAATATCAGTCTTATCTCGCGTCATTCCGCAGTCGCAGTCTTGCACGTGGTTGTGACGGTTTCAAGAAGCTGTTGTTTAGGTCTGTACAGGACGGGAAAATGGAGATTTGAATATGATATAGATGGTGAAATGTGACTAGTCGCTGTAATTCAGTTCAGTAGAACATGCATACAAAACGAGTGTGACAGATGCAAGTGTCGCCAGAAAGTCTGGAGCCGTGGCCCACCAAAAAGACTTCCGTGGGTGGCAGTGTCAGCGGTGAGCACGCTTATGATATAGTGGGTTGCGTATACTAAGTTTCGGCCTGTTCTGGTGATAACTACGGCTTCCTTTGGACAAAATGTATTGTTCCTGTGAAAGAAGTTCGACATACACGTTCTGCTTGCTTGTGACGAAGAAAGACGCAACATATTTTTGCAGTGCAACACAGCCTCCTTCGAACAACGTATTGTAAGTAATGAAGCTAATTATTGACCTTTTGGAAGTGTATTTTGTTTATCGACACAATTCTCTTAGTTATCGAAACTAATTACGCTGACTTAATACTAACTAAGGAGCCCGATGAACTGTGGGACAAACAATAGTTTCCCACACTACAATTAAAACATTTCTTGTATAGTTGGTAAATTTTTTATACATATATAAACCGTTTTTATTACACGAGACTGGCATTTGGACCACGGGAATACGAGCCGTTAGGTAGTATGAGATGAACCTGTGCGAACACTCTTCTAAAATGTGAAAATTAGATACATTTCATCCAGGAACCGAACTTCGAAAGACCAGTTCATGAACTGTGCGTTACAGCGTTATAACCCCGGTTCTATACAAGAGTAACAGTTTTAACATTGGTGAGCGTTGAGAGTAAATTGGACAGAAAATCAAATAGTCTCTTTAATGTTGTTGTTAATTATCCACCATAGAGTATTTGCTAACACTTGTTGCCAGATAGGTGCTTCAGTTTGCAGAGAAAAACAAAAGCGACGGTGCACTCATGTTGTTTAGGCTTTCATGTAATTTAGCAGTATGATCGAGATCGGTGCCAAGACAGAAAGGAAATCAATGACAGAAAAGGAAACAAGGGTCAAAATAAATTACAATACTAAAAATAGATAAAAGAAAAAAATAAACATTTTATGAAAAAAACAAGTTAGAATAATGTAACTGGATGAGACATTCTAAGTAATTGCCTACCCGTGTCACAGGCAGTAGCGGTCATTAAATAACACAGGTTCGTGATAACGAGCTTTGTATTGTTCTTGTGAGTTCCTTGGGCTGGCTGTCTGGTGTGACGGGACTCGGGTCTACGCCGGCGGGTTGTCAGTATTGAGGCGACATCGATAACAAAACATCGATGTTAGCATACGTCAATGTTCAAAGTGAAAACATCGATGTTAAAAATACATCGCCTAAAAACCATCGATGTTTATCAATTCACCGAATAAGGGTACGAGAAGAAGAGGCAGACCGTACGCCCACAGACTATTTGTTGACCACATCTCAGTGTGCGAAATGGATATGAAAAAAAAAGAGGAAATACAAGGGCATTGAAGTCATTTCGGGCGAGAGAATGTGGTCGATCAAGATGGTGCCAGCAGCGTTCCATTGGTTCCAACACTTGAATAACATTGTGACTATCAGTTACTATTTCATATTTTAACTTTTACAGTATTGTGATTATGGGAATTTTTCATTCAGAAATAAAACGTCGGGGGAAAAAAATCGGCACAAAACATCGGTATTAATACATTTTCTACAAAAACATCGATGTTTTGAAAACATAGACATCGATAGTTCCCTAGTTTCGATAGCATCCCTAGTTCCGAGTGGATCTTTCAGGCAATCATTCAGGAACTACAGGCCAGCGCGCCGCAGCTCACAGATCAGTCGCAGATCAGTCGAAGCCAACGCTAGGCGAACTCTGCAAGCTGGGGACGAGCGACGGTTCAGAGATCGCGACTCGTGATTATAAAGCAGCAGACCAGTCCAATGTTGGCTATGCGGGGGCGTCCGCTGAGTTCGCACTATCTTAAAGTGTGAAGGAAAGAGGGGGGTAGGTCAAGGCGGATAGACGCAGATGTCAGGTTTTTACTTTCTCGTTATTGCTTACGCAGTGTAGAGAAAGTCTTGTAATGCCGAAAAAAGGGCAAATTTTCGACAGAACACAAGACACTTTTCTTACGCCGTAACACTTGAAATGTCTTTTCTCGACGTTATATTGTGCTTTAGAGGGTTCTCCCACTATTTTCACTTTTAAAACTATAATTAAGAAAATAACAGAATAAGACTTTCTCGCCATTACAAAATACTGTTGCTTTAATTCAAAAGTATATTGACTTATTCAAGACGATTATGGGGAGGTCATGACCTCTGTGACCCATTCATCTCATGATCTACTACTGCTGTTTTTATACTTTCCGTGTTATATACAGAGTGTCCAGGAAGGAAATAACGAAACTTCGAAAATAAGCTCTTAAGTGAATTGTAAGCATATTTTGTCTAATAAACTTCGAAATTTCGAATGGCTGATCCGCAATAAGCACTCAAAAGTTGGTTTAAAAAAGTAATTTCAATGAATTTGCATTTCAGAAACATATAAACACTTTAAAAAATGTAAATTGTTTATTATTTACAAAATAAAATCGATATATTTGTTTACAAAGAAAAAATTAACACAAAAATAAATAAAGTAATTGAATTGTTTTCGAGACAAATAGTGAGTAAATACTTTTTCTTTGAATGAGTAAATGATGCGATGTGAAACAATGTAAATAATGCAATTCTAGGATGAGTAAATGAAGTTGATAACTGAATATTGTGTTACAGATTAACAAATAGCCACAAGTATGTTATGCGAGAGTTCACATTTTTTGTTATAAACGTATCTTTGAAATAGTGCTCGCTAGGGAATTCAGCAATTGCGACTCTAATAATGATTGGTTGGAAGTTTATTACGCGAAAATTTATCCAGGGATACAACAAAATTACTGCGACAATTTCACAGAATTGTCTAATAATAGGAAAAACAATAAAATATTTATAAATTTAATACATTTTGAAATGCCACTCTTATATCCAGTCACTGTTGATGGTGAACAAAGTTCATACGAAAAAATAAGAAAATTCTGTGAATTTACTTCTCTTTTGCATTTGAAATATTTTAAAACACATTTGCCTCCCCCTGCTTCTCTTTTCGTTCTCACATATTATAGGCTTTTGGAACATCATTATTTTTACATTTTATTCAGAGATAACCTTCCAGGCCATGGCCAATTCACTTCAGTGCTGGTGTCTACTGCCCCATCAGCAACATTTTACAGGACTTAACATTTCTTCGTTATAAATTCTGAGATAAAGGAACTTGTTTACTAAAAATAGCAATGAAAATAGAAAAAAATGTAAAAAAAATGAAAATTTAGCAACAATCAACACGCAGCTAACATAAAATGTGGAAGTGAAAATTCTCGGTAAAATCAAAACACAGGCATTTATGTTGAATAGAGGTTCCCTCCAGGGTCAGTAACGACCCTCCGAGGGTCTGAAGGATACAAAGCAACTAAATTTTTAGACTAATAATAAATTAAAAATTCTTTTTTTCGTATTCATCTATCACCCTTATGACTAAAGATATTTTAAAATCATAAGAAATAATGACTATGCATTAAGAACGATACTCTATCGCGTAAGAAAATAATCCACCGGAGAACTCTTATGGACAGTACTTAAACACACTCAGTATTTTGAAATCATTCCTCTACAATGAAGATTAGAAACTCAACTACTCAAAAGTGGAAGCGTCTTCGATTGTTGTGTATATGTGTATTGTGTATATATATATGTATGTATGTATATATGTATGTATGTATGTATATATATATATATATATATATATATATATATATATAT